GAAAATATTATTAAGCTTCAAATCCTATCTCTCCACAGATGATGCAAGATAGAGAAGGAGAAATTCAGTTGCCTGGCCATATGCATTTAGTGCCACTTAAGCAACCTTGGGTTTCCCAGGCGTCTGCACCGGGCTGGTAGAGGTGACACAGGACACAAGGGAGACCTGCACCTTCCAGACTAATAGTTGGAGCCCAGCTTAGGACATGGAAAACATTTAGGCAACTGAATGCCGACTAAGTGATTGTATTTACACATTAATAGCACTTTACAACTTCCAGTAGTAGCAATTACCAGAGGCACCCCCCAAAAAAAAACCCCAAAACCAAACCCCAAACCCCAGAGGCACCCCCCCAAAAAAAACCCCAAAACCAAACCCCAAACCAAAACACCTCTTTTCAGATAATTATCTGTCAAAATTTTGTTTCATTAGTAAATCAGGAAAGCTTGGGTTTACCCTCCAAGTAGAGATCCCAGCATTTCTAGCACCTGCCTGGTGCTCCTCTGCTTATCATTTCTGGTCACGGTCAGATGTGTTGCTGCGGCCATCCCTTTTGAGACCTTTACACATTAGCTTCCAAAACACAATTCTTTGCTGTGTAAAATGGTGAAGCAGAGGAACAGAGCACAAGTGAACATTTCAGCGTTAAGTAAAATTACACTCGGGTTCAGGCAGTAGCCTCACACAAATGAGGCTGGGCACATGAAGCTTGCCAACAAAGCTATACCAGTTTCTTCATCTTTTCTTGAAGTTGGACAAAAGTACCTGTGACTATTAAATCACTCAGGTCCTCATTTGTGTGATCTCAGGCTAACTGTGCCTGTAGAAGCAGGTGACTAATGAGACTGGTGACTACAGAGCTGGTAACAGTCCACGCTTCAGTAGTATTTTCTGATGTGGTATCTTCTGATGAAAAGATGCTTGTGACCTTTTTGTATTATGAAGAAGAAACTTCTCGTTTACAATGGCCCTAAGAATTTGCCAATATCCACGTCCCAGGCTTCGGTAAATGCCCTTTACTTATCTCATGACAACCCAATTGAAGTATCATCTTTCAGAATAGCTGCAAACAAACATTTTGAAGGCTTACATACACTAAGGAGGCATGAGCATGAACTGGCACCTCCTGGCAGTTGTTCAGGCAGATGTAGTCACAGCCAGGATACGATTATTCTGCTCTGAATATATGCATTCAGCCCTCGGCCACAGTAGCCGGTTTTTCTTCTGGGGCAATACCTAATGCCGGATTTCCTCCACTTGCAGTCAGAGCAAAGGGAGGGCAGGCGGCACCGCCTCCCAGATGCCCGTGTCCTCTCTAGGGTAATCATCTTCTCCCGGTGCTGTGTGACACAGTTAGTCCCGCAGCTAGAGCAGCCTAAGTGCTTTTTATTTGCGCTGCTGAGGGCTAAGGTTTCAAACCTGCTAATGCTGAGTGACAGAACTGGTTTTTAGCTTTTTCCTCTTAAGAAAAACATTCTAGGAAATTGCATCACCTCCTTTGATCCTCTTGGTAACTGGAATTTAAGGTTTCAAAGCCAACTGCTTACTTTTGAGCAAGCAGCCTGATTTGCTTTCTTGTGCTATGTGCTATGATCTAGTCCTAAATTATATAAATTACAAATGTTCTTGTTCCTCCAGGTCCATTCATCATTGAATGCAGAATAAAGATAGAAAAGGGCCAAAGTAACGTTGCGCATGCACAGCCACGAGTCCTACCTTTTGGATCTTTATGCCAAGGAAACAGCTTTCCCTTGCTCTGTTTTAAAAATTACAGACTCCTTCAGCTCTGACCTGTTAGCACAGCTACAACCAAAGCCATCAGAAACTATTACCCTCTGATGTCTTTCCAGCAGTATATGTAAAATATGCTTCTTCTCCATTAATTTCTCACTTGGGAAATCTTCATCCGCTGTCACAGAGGTAACATTGCCAACAGAAGCTCAGGACTAAACAGGTATGAAGGCTGAGCTCCTGCCTCATGTGCTGGTCCCTTCAGGTGATTCAGATTAAAAAACAAAACAAAACAAGCCAAAACAAAAGATTACAAAACAAGAAATAGAGGAGACATCAGCAACTCAGCATACATGAATTTGGCCTGTTTTGCGACAGTGAAAATGGGATAAGCCCAAACACAGAGGCTGCACAAATCCATCCATGATGCGTTGTTTCAGGATGCTAAAACAACTACGCTTTCATCTAATCAGTCTCAGAAATGTTTTTTCAAAATTTCTTTCTTTAGAATGGGGCAAAGTGTTGCATTTGGGGCACTAAATTATAATGATTTGCAGCACATCAATTAGATTGAAGCCTTTAGGTGGAACCAAGTCAGTGGCTGCCCATTTTTAACATGGTGTGATGCACGGGAGACCTCCTACCAGGCTCTTAGAGGGCAAGTGAATAATTAACAGCTTAAAGTCAAGTAGGGTTGCAACCTGCTCTTTTTCATGTAAACAAAGCCCACTTTTTGTCTACTTCCCAGTTGACTAATGTCATCTTTATTCTTGAAACTGCTCATACGGAAAGTGAATGGTACCTGAACTGGATGCTGCTAAACATGCCACTACAGCAGTACAGCATTTGTGTCCTGAACCAAAGAATGTCAAATTCCTCCCCAAACAACAAAACTTCAAAGAATATCAAGGATGATTGACAGTGCAGGGGTAGCAAGCCTTCTTCCCCCTCTTCTGTCCATTTTCTCCATGGGACAGCATGCTGTTCTGGCAGATCACAACCCCTCCTCGCCTGGGTGCTGGAGCCCAGCTGATGCAGGAGGGGATGAGTTACACGTTTAACATTTGGGAGAAAGGGATGATGGGGAGCGAGTCACCAAGCTGCGGCTGCATTTTGGCAACGGATGAAGTCTCTGTCTGGCTGAAGGGTGGTCACCCCATTTCTGTGCCTCAGTCTTGTCAGCTGTTATTTGGGCATAATAATCTTTTAGTGTCTTTTGGACGCTAAGACTTCCTGCTTATCCTTACGGACAGAGCTTTACATGCCTTCTACAGAGGGGCTTTGCAGATCTAAGGTGAAACGGTAACAAACCTTCGCCTCAGTGAGAACTGCTAAATTAGAAGACCAGAACTGGAGGAGAAAACCACCCTCTCTCAATCCAGATATTTAACGATGTCATTGGGTTGAAATTTTCCCATTCTAAACACAGGCTCTTAGTGAGGATCTGAAGGAAAGCTGAACCTAGAAACCCCAACAATTCTGGGGGCTCTCTGGGATGGACAGATGGGTTTGTATCATCAAGCGTACCGTCAATGCAGAACCAGTTTACAAGCCTGAAAACCAACGCTCCTTTACTGACTGCTTTTTTCTGCCTATTTCAGAGCACGCTGTATGAGACGGGCTCCCTGGCTGAGCAAGGGGAGCAGAAGAGGACGGAGCAGCCGACCGGCTTCTTACCAGTGGCAGAAGCTAACTTTGAGTCCACGAGTATTCCTCAAGAGCAAACAAGAACTGCAACAAATCATCCATAAAATGCAGTCAAAAAGGACTTCGTTTAATTAGTGATATGTAAAGACTTTTGCATAGAAAAAAGGTTAACCAAGTAATGCATAAAAGACCGACTAGGTACAGTATTTTTAAAACAAATATTTTAAAGTATATTTTGCATAATGTTTAACATTCTCAATGCTTATTGCTTTCTCCACACAGCAGAGAAATCAAGTGCATAATAATACATGCTGTGTTTTATTTATTTTTTTTTTTACATAAAATCTCTAGTTCTTGACTGGATGTATTAAAATACTTAGGTTATTTTAAGTCACTGTAATAAAAAATGAAAGCAAACCATTTTATGCAGCACTAGTTGTCTGGGTATTGACAAAATAATTTACTGACATACCCTTTAATACATTCATTTTGGTTTGGAATCAAACCCACATTACAATGTTGGCGTGTTAATAGCCAATTTAAAAATTGTCCCTACCGTAACTTCATTCATACCCAGAGTGATCTTTCTCCCTGTAGTTGATAGTGAAAAGAAGAGGGATCTTGCACAGAATCGGCTAAAAGTAAATGTCCAAATACGGCTAAATAAGTTAATTTGAACTCTTGCAACACCAAGTCTCTTGTATTGGCATGAATCAACCGTATCCAAGTGTGCACACTTTAAATAGGTGGTTACTTCTGGGTGCATGACAAATTCACTGTTTGTGCAGATACAAGCTAGCACCATATTTAAGCCATAAAAAAGGGTGCCTCAAGGCTCACAGGCAGTGCTGAAATGTTCATTAATCCCAGCACTGATAAGATAATTGCTTTTACCAATGCTATGCTAGATGTCACAATTTGGCAAGTCTGTACAAAGAAAGTGAACTAAGGAAGCGAGAACTAGGCCTGTCAAATCGAACATTCTTTCTCGGCAATCTTTTGGCTAAAAAAAACCTCTCCCCTTCAAGAGCACACTCTTCACTGGAAAGATATCCTAGTCCTGAAGTTGAATGCAGGATTTCCCCTCTCTCCCATACCATTTCCATACCTGTGCAATGTTATTTGTTTTAGCAGAACACACATATATATAATTTCTTTATTATTATTTTTTCAATGTCAGGCACTTATGAAACTCGAACTCTTTTTCTAGCCTGGGGAGATCCGGTAGGTGCGATCCCTCAGCTCTCTGCCAAACAAGGATGCATAGCTGGAGAATTATTAGTTCTAGTGTCTACGTATTTCCCAGGAAACCTCTACATGCCGATATGGTCACGCTGTTTCTGAAAGCCATTGCTGCTCCCTCAAGGTGCCTCCAGCAAAACAAACCGAGAAGAAGATACCATCCCGTGTCCTCTCTGACGCCTGAAACGAGGATGGCTGCGCCATTCCTCGGCGGGCTTGCTGGCACCTCTCAGGCCCTTTGGGTGAAGGCGGCCCCTCGGCCGGGCTGAGCAGGAAGGACATGCCGAGTCCCGGAGGCTCGTGTGTGGGTGTGCACGTGGGGGTGTGGGTGTGCACGCGCGCGTGTGCTGAGGGAGAGGAGGGAGCCGGACCGGGAAGGGAGAGGGGGGACTTAAAAGGCTCCAACTTCAGTCCCCCAAGGTCGGTATGGTTTAGTACTGCCCCCGCTGCCAGCCTGCTGAGGGCTGGCGGTTGGTGATTTAGGCCAAGGGG